GTAAGAGGACTTGGATGCTAATGATACATGCGTAGGGTGGATTAAGATGAGGAGATAGGCTTAATTTGCCTTTAATAATGGTCATCAGCTGATCGCCAAGGGTCAGCTGATGACACTTGGATATTAGTATATTTCTCGGGCGTTTTGTTAAGATATTAAGAGTTATTGGGGGATTTGCTTTATTCTCTTGTATGGTATGGGATCTTCCTCATTTATCTGTTATGAATATGGGGAAAGTGTTGCGTTTCTTTTGTGTTTTTTTTAATTTCAGTTCTGGGACCGTATTTTAACATTAGCGAAAAACTTAAGGCTTTAGGTTCACACCATTTCCTAATTTTATAATCATTCAGCCTTTCATTAATGCGTTTTGTTATTTAAGAATGACAGTACACAAGAATATGGGTAAAATGACACATATGGACAAGTGTAGAGTGAATTACGAAATTTTGGTTTTCTGACGATTGTGTCATGTGTCAAATTGATGACAGTCTTTTGAGAAAAACTCTGCTTTACAGTACAAGATAAACAATACATGTAAACAATAGGATTAGGAACTCGAAAATACTTTAAATTGATGACTTACCCACCACAAGTTTCAAATAAAGATTACAAATAACCTACTTAGTTGGAGAAGCATTAAGCAGAGGAGCTTTAACTGATTTCCTGTTTGACAAGAAGTTACCAGGAAGGTGGCCAAGAGCACTATGATTTATAGCCAAAATTTCATTGGTGGTTTGAGTTATTTGTATGACTATGAGTGGATTTGAATGCTTGGTTAATCTTTACAGTATGGACACTCTAAATTAGGGCAAATTGATGATGATATTATTTAGAGGACAAAAGATTTCAGTTGTTGGTACAAGAAATAATCTGCAGGCCCAAATAGTAACGCCAAAAACAAAGGTATAAGATCACAAAGCACAGTTCACACCATTGTGCATTCATGCACTTAGGCCCGAGGATCTCCGGCGTGGAGTTAGCTTTCCTGTCGGCGTGGCAGTGTGGATTTAGCCTAAATTATATTCCTTGGCGTATTGGCGTAATGAATATGAAAAATCTCGGCGTATGCTTTTTTATCTTTACTGTTTTTTCAAGCTTTAAAGGCGAACACAATGCACTTATACATAGTCGCTTGTTTTATTCCTTTACAACGCCCCCCTCCCCAACCCCTTGCAGCTGTTTTTTAACAAACATCTGAGGCTCAAAATCCCAAATTTTTAAGAATCACGAGGCTGGGGAAAAAAAATTCATGATTCTCGTTAAAAAGTGTGTGCTGCCATCAATAATCTACTTGGCTATAACTTGGTGTCATACATTATGAAAAATTACTCTTATCGGGAACGTTGGCATACACTTGATGAGCTATTGGCGTACCTTCGGCGTGAGTTTTTACACAGAATGCACCCTGGCGTTTACAGCCTTAGTCCTCTTGGTCCTCCAGAGTTTTACCTCTATCTATCCTTGCATACTGAGGTGAAGACCATGTTTGCCGTGGGTTGACCCCTCAGGTCAAGGCAATTTAGATTGTTGAATAAAGTTTTTGACTTGGAATTGGGGGCTTTTGTCTGTACTGTAAAGAATTACTGAATGCTGAAGTTATTTTGATAAGCATATCTTGGAAGACATGAAATGAATATTTTGGCTTCTATAGATTCATTAACCTATTGGATTGCCCGTGTGTGGACCTAAACCTAGGCCTTAGGCTTACTCGAGTAACGAATTTCCTGGGTGTGTCACTCGGCAGGCCCAGCCCACAAAAACAGTCATGTGCAGTGTTAAGATTCCATTTTCCAAGGTCTATATGTAATGTCATGTGCTATAACAAGATAATAATAGACTTTGCCTTGCACAGATTCCTAGATTCCTCTCTTTAGTTAGTCTAGTCTATAACTCTCAACAGTAACAATAACATTAAACATTGTTTGAAGTTTTACTTTCATATTATTCAATTTTCTGAAATATATACTGTGCCAGCAGTCATAGTGGACAGGAATAGGATCTTTAGCAGGAAAATAGTGTCCCCCCCTTAACCCCTTGGTGCTGGGTGACGCCGATTGGCGTGTAAACAAAGAGCTCGAAAGCTGGCGTGCAGCCAAACGAGCCGGCGGCGAGCCAGTGATTCGGGCTGATGTCCCCTACTCACGCGCTCAAAGTCGGCGCGCCGCCTTCGTTTGTTTAAGCGTAGTTTTTTTTTTCTTTTGTACACCCGGCGCCATTGGGTTAAGCTCTTTCAGATGGGTCACGTGTACAACTATCATAATAAACCATTTGGTCTGTGGGTTATGGCTATACATGCTGTGATGAGCTAGAGCGTGGGGAGTGGGAACTTCCTACTGGCAGCCATGACTCATGGATGGTACATTCCACACTCATTTACCAGTAAAAATAGTACAAGAACCCCTTCCTAAATGCACATTTTCTTCCAAGAGCTTTGTGCATTTATGGAAAGTCATTGATGTTGTGTGGCCATCAGCCAAATATCTCGTGATGGGAATGAGCCAATCCTCAACCATATTTTTGTGTTATGGTATATTCCTCTCATCCGGCCCCAATCAAATTTTTTGATGACATGATGGTCATAGCACCCAGATCTAATGAGTTAAATAACTTTTTTTTTTTTAGTACCTGAAATATTACAGATGAAAAGCATCTAAGAATTTGTTGATCTGTGTTGATTTTGCATGTGGTAAGTATTCTAAAGGGCCACATCAGTTTGGGAGAAGCATCAGTAGGAAGGTTTGGGAGTTGTGCCACTGTCAAGGGAAATATGGTGATTGGAAAGGGGGCATGGAGCGAAGCTCCTTGGTTAGAAAGATTTTTGGTTCATTCTTTCGTAATTCTTAAGTTCTGATGCACTTCCTAAAGTCCCTAACTCCTTGTCACAATTTTTTCAACAATTTAACCCCTTTCTGACGGTTGACGCCGATAGGCGTGAAAACAAACCGCTCAAAAGCTGGCATGTGGCTGTACGCCGCGGTGGCGCGCCAAAGCGTGGCAAGCCAGTGTTTCAGGCTGATGTACCAAACTCACATGCTCAAAGTTGGCACCCCACCAGTGTTTGCCAGAGCGTAGAGTTTTTTTTTTTTTTTTCTTTTTTTTTTTTTTTTTCTTCACCCGTCACCATTGGGTTAAGTTACCATTCCCTTTGGGCACTGCCTGAAGGGAGGGTTGATGGAGACTCAACCCCCAAAGCTCCCCCACCCTCCCCAGCAATCATTGTCTGAGCTGGGCTTTCTGCTGTCTTTTTCCTTTATTTATGGCGGTACCATTTGTGTCTGCAGAATATCTCTTCTACCGATGACTTCAACCTTTTGTTCTCTATAAGAATATCCCCTTCAGTTTGCCCTAGCTTAGCACATTCATACCATAAAGATTAATGCACATAGTGATCTTTGTAGCAGTTTGTCCATTACAAAAGGGGTTTATTTGTTCAAGTTAGTATAGACTCTTGAGTTCTCTTTACCAAGCTTTTTTTTAAGATTTGTAATCCCCACAAAGAACAAAGAGGAAAATGCATATTTTTAGGAGGGGGATGAAAATAAGTATCAGGCTGTGTTCTTTCGATGTTGAGATTTAGGTAAAGGTCAGCCAGTATCTACCTTATGTTTTATATAATAGCAACTACATTATAGAAGAAAAGGGGTATGGAATTTTGGAGGCTTCATTTTCTTGTGTTATTTTCGTAAATCTTATTAATGAGCTCCTTAATTTTCAAAATAGTATATTATTATTGTAGCTTTGTTCTAATAAAATCCCTAAGGAACTTGTAACAGAAGGTCTGTCATCTTGTTATTTTCAAACAATAGCCCTTGGCTGAACCGGATGGTACCACAGCAGATATTCTAGAGGAAATAAAGTTTCCTGTTTTTATTTGTTTATTTATTTATTTTTTTTATTTTTTTTTCATACACCCTCTACAATTTTGAAGAATATACTGGAAGTGGAGGGATTTTAGGGGGATAAGGGAGCACACAGAGTTCCATAAGTGAAATACCAGCCAACAATCTCCCACCCAAAGTCGGGGCTTTTGGTGAAATCGCTCATTGCAGGCAATTTAAAAAGTGAGCCAAAAATTGTATTTTAGATGACAAAGAATATATATAAAAGGAAAACCTAGAGTCAAGGTTTGGTCATGGCAGATTCAACCCATTGTTGTGTGAATGAATAAATGAATAAAGCCTTTAAGAAAGAGGGAGGGGAAGAGAGGGCGGGAGAGAGAGAGAGAGAGAGAGGAAGAGAGGGCGGGAGAGAGAGAGAGAGAGGAAGAGAGGGCGGGAGAGAGAGAGAGAGAGGAAGAGAGGGCGGGAGAGAGAGAGAGGAGAGAGGCAGGAGAGAGAGATGGAGAGAGAGGGCAGGAGAGAGAGAGAGAGGAGGAGAGAGGGCGGGAGAGAGAGAGAGAGAGGAAGAGAGGGCGGGAGAGAGAGAGAGAGAGGAAGAGAGGGCGGGAGAGAGAGAGAGAGAGGAAGAGAGGGCGGGAGAGAGAGAGAGAGAGGAAGAGAGGGCGGGAGAGAGAGAGAGAGAGGAAGAGAGGGCGGGAGAGAGAGAGAGAGGGGAAGAGAGGGCGGGAGAGAGAGAGAGAGAGGAAGAGAGGGCGGGAGAGAGAGAGAGAGAGAGGAAGAGAGGGCGGGAGAGAGAGAGAGAGAGGAAGAGAGGGGCGGGAGAGAGAGAGAGAGAGGAAGAGAGGGCGGGAGAGAGAGAGAGAGAGGAAGAGAGGGCGGGAGAGAGAGAGAGAGGAAGAGAGGGCGGGAGAGAGAGAGAGAGAGGAAGAGAGGGCAGGAGAGAGAGAGAAAGAGAGGGCAGGAGAGAGAGAGAGAGAAAGAGAGGGAGAGAGAGAGATAGAGAGAGGAAGAGAGGGCAGGAGAGAGAGAGATAGAGAGAGGAAGAGAGGGCAGGAGAGAGAGATAGAGAGAGGAAGAGAGGGCAGGAGAGAGAGAGAGAGAGGAAGAGAGGGCAGGAGAGAGAGATAGAGAGAGGAAGAGAGGGCAGGAGAGAGAGATAGA